AGAAAGGAGACCATTCCCTGTATATTTATTTAAGTCATTTTCAAAGGCTGTATAGTATCCCATGACATAGCTAAACACCTGTTACTTTAACCAGTTCTAATTAGGCAGGGCAGTTAGGTCATGCCCATTCTTTTCATAAATGTAAACAATGCTGCAGCGATTGCAGTGCTGCAATCCTTGTACTAATCTTTGTGTACTTGTCAAATAATACCCCCGGATGATACATCCCTAAAAGTGGAGCTGCTGCGTCAAAGAGTAAACACACACATACATACAAATATGTACCTATGTATCTGTGTGTATGTTCTGAAATACATTATGACTGAAATACCCTTCAAAGCTATTTTGTTTATCTATTGCTGCATAACAGCTATTCCAAAACTTAGTGACTTAAAACAACAACTTATCATTGCCCTTGATTTCTATGGCTTGACTGGACAGTTCTTCCTCATGTGATGTCAGTAGAGGCACTGGGACAACTAGAAAATCCAAAATGGCCTCACAAACATGGCAGGCAATTGGTGCTGGCCATAAGGTGGGAGCTCAGTTAGGGTTGGTGGCTAGAGGCCTTTTCCTTTTAAGGCAGAAAACAGTTCCAGTCATATTCTCTCTAGTTTCAGTGATACTATGATATAGAGATACAGTATTAAGAAGACCAGAAATATCTAATAATCTATTAATCCAGTTTTTTTTTTNTTTTTTTTTAATTTAAAAAACCCCCACATTTTTTAAAACCCCACATTTTTAATAAAACTGAGAGATGGCTCAGCAGAAGTCCTCAGGTTTTAACCATCCAGTTAAATCTGGCCAGTCATCCCCTGGGCTCTGTTCCTCATTCTTTCATCACAGTGTGTGTCACCAACTCCCCCTTCCTCTGGTTGTGCTAATAATGCCCTGTGCTTGTGACTCCTTGCAGAATTTGGGGTGTTTGTGGATTCTTACGGAAGACGGAGCCGCACAGACGATCTCAAGTGGAGTCGCTTACCTTTGGCCTTCGGTACGTNTAGAGAGTTTCTTCATGCATTTTTACAGCTATTCAGATTTCCATAGACATTTCATAATTTATTTAACCAGTCTCCTATAATGTACACTTGAATTGTTTCCCATCTTCAACAACATGGCAATTAATAAACTTGAACATGCATGATTATGCTGGCACGTGGGTATATTTGTAGGATAAATTCCTTTAACGGGATTGCTGAGTCAAAGGATGCGTAGCAGCCAGGTTTTGATTTTCCCTCTTTTAACCCTTCTTTACCTCATGTTCTTCCTTCATGGTGGCCCTGCAGCCTACAGAGAACCCTATCTGTTTGTGACCCACTTCAACTCACTTGAAGTCATTGAGATCCAGGCACGCTCCTCGCTAGGGTAAGCATTGCCCTTCCATGCTTTGAAAACCNTAGTCTAATTCTGTCACATTCTCGCCTTTGCTATTGCTCTCTCTTTGTTGTTTCTCTCTCTTCCTCACCGTCTTTCTCTGGACTTCTTTCTTTTTCTCTTGATGTTTCTCTTTCCTTCTTTTTTTTTTTTTTAATCTGAGTCGGTCTCTGCCTCCCTGTCTCTGGGTCTCTGTCTCTCCCTCTTCCTTCTTGTTTCTTTATTCCCCTGTCTCTCTGTCTCTTCCTCCTTCTTTCTCTCACTTTTTTTCTTATTCCCCTCCTTTTTCTTTAATAAAACTTAACATAGTAAAATTTTTTTTTAATTTAAAAAACCCCCACATTTTTTAAAACCCCACATTTTTAATAAAACTGA